AAAGCAAGATTTACATAAAACAATAGATGTACATGAAAAGATCAAAAGAAAAACAAAATGTAAAACGCGGACATTAATCACTTAATCTTCTGTGAGTCTATGAGATCATAGCTTTAAACACGAGGTAAATTGATCAATCACAACTAAGTTAAGATAATATATGCACGTAAAAAGAACTCTGACTTTCCATCCCATGCATAGCAGGTATTAAAGCCAATTTTTAAGATAGCCTAACTTACAAGGAAAGTCGAGCCTGGCTGGAAGACTTTTGATCACTCCAACTGGATTACTCGAACGGCAGCGGTAATTTCCACTATCACGATATTCGTCCACTTTCTTCAGGCGAAGACCACCGTTTTGCAATACATCAAAATGATTGCCTTTTAAGGGAACATCATCCTTCTCCCAGGTCACGGAGGGTGTGGGTTGACCACGTGTGATGCAGTACAGTGATATGTCAATCCCTGGCTGTGCTATGGTGTCTACTGGATTTGAAAGGATCGACGGACCCTCGTAATTTTCTGAAAAGACATGTAAATAATTGCAAATCTGCTTTAATAACATTTTTTTACACACAGTGACACATATTAAGATCTTAATATTCTCCCAACGAGTTTCAGTTGATTTCTTTATATTGTTCTACATTTGCCTCACCAGTGTCACACCACTAACTTGCGCAGCTCATTCGCAATTATGCTTCCTACTTTTTTTTGCTTTCGAGCATTCTGTGTGAGCAATCAAATTGGGATGATTTTAGGAATCGCTTCATTTTCAGTTCATATTGGAGGATTTTTTAGTCCAAAATCAAAAGCCATAATGTGATCACGACATAATATATTTTAGTTCTTTATAAAGGACACATACTTTCGTTTAAAAAGGACAAATTTTTGCTTCACCCGGACATAAAGTGTAAAAAACACGCTCATTTTAATAAGTACCTGTTGCGTACACTGCATTATAGTAGTTATTGAAGTTTTCAAAATATTTAGAATGTTTAGATGAAGCAGTTTTGAATCGATATGGTACACATTTATCTCATGCAGAGTGAGCGATCGAATGTTAGCAGAGTTGATTGGAAAATGAGTAATTTAGAAGATGGGTGTTTTTACTTATATATTACATTAAAAATTTATTGATTCGACATTGTTCGACATAATGTCAAAAGTGCTGAAAAACCAAAACAGAAACAGCCATAAACAGCAGACCACACAACAACGCACTCTCTTGTTTTATGTTTCCCGTTCGAACTGGATTCCCTGGCGAAATCTACGCGTCAGAAATACGTCATGCAAAATTCAAAATTTGTCAGAAGTGGCCCTGCTTTAAAAAAATCTTTGTCTCACCGTTTGAAGCGACAAACGTTGTGCACAAAATAAGACCAACAAGTATAACGAACATTATGTCTTCTGACTATCGTATCTATAAAAAAAAATAACATCACGGTCCTTTCTAATGTTCATCGAGCCATTTACGTCGTTTATAAGCACGTTTCTAGCGTTACAAAATTATACATCCGTCCTCTTGCTAAAATTAAACAGATATTGCCGCTGGCAAACTTTTTCATCAAAATTTACAGCGGTTATAATTGGTGAAAATCACCCCAAAGAGGACCGCTTGTTCGGAGAGGAATAGATAATAATATAATAATATTAAGGGAGGTAAACCGCACAAAGAACGACAATAATTGACAAACAAGCAAATATGATACATTTGCCACGTATAGTTGACGTGTCGCGATACAGAAGGAATATTTGAGAAATGGCAATAGAGTCTAACAAGCATCATAAAAAGTCTTTCGACATCGATCATAAAACCTGGATGAGTACGTCAATAAAACCAGTGGCATACTGTGAAACATTGCCTTTTTCGACTTCTTTTTTTGTTGCTTTTTGATTTTTTGAATAAAAATCGTTGTAGCTACTAACTGAAAAAGTCCAAATTAAGTCAAGGTTGTAGCATAACTTTACACAAGAAAAGCAAATCAGTAATGAGTTCGAATATGTCTAGAAGCGTTTTCACGTTGGGTATAGGTTTCCTCAATAGGTTATCCCAGCATACCGGATACATCAGACAAAATAATTATTCCAGCTCATTAGTTAATTTTGCGGTTTTTGCACAGGTAATTTTACAATATTTCAAAAAGCATAGCAATCCCTAGCAAGTTCTTGTGTTCAATAATGCACAGGAAATTATAGTCCATAGCTTTCCCACGTATTTAGATTTGTAGCCTACACATGGCTCTTCACGATATTCCGCTCCATTTTTCTACAGAGCTTAATTTCAATATCACTTATGTAGCTATAAAGACTCGATGGGATGTCACGCATTTTCAAAAATACCTGTTGTTAAAAGCGTTTTTGTTTACCGTTCTATCTCGGTACGCTAGTCCAATGTTTTTAAAACTGACAAAGGTGATTTTTTGTTAAGACGTGTGAGTCAACTAGCTGAGGTAGCAATTTATCAAACGGATTAGACCTTCGCCATTGAAATTAATCGAAATTTAAAAGTTCTTCGACTCCCGTATCGTTTAAAATGCTGGAGGCCATATCACTTTAAATAATTATCTATAAAATTTGTTAATCGTTGTCAATAAAACTATTTTGTTTGGTATTCTTGGCATGATACGCAATAAAGGTTAACATATTTTTAACATGTCATCAAGCTATCAACTCTTATATATTGAATGCAAACTCTTGTCAAATCACATGAAAACTTTCTTTGTGATTAAGCATGCAGACATGTCGAAACAAACTGTATATTATGAGTTTCGGACAAAAAAAAGCGAGACAAAGTATAGCGTTTAGTTGCCAACTGCGTCACTTATATCAAGCGTTAACTACAATAACATATAAGCTAGCCACTTAAGACAAGCCAAGTTCAACGAAAGCTTTTAAGAGACAACGTAAGCAACAAAGACAAAATTTCATAAAAAACTCATAAAGAATATTAGCATGTTTGAAATACCTTGAAGCACGTCATGTATGTGAAACTTCACAGCAAACTTCATCTTCAAGATGCAAAATTTTCAGTAAATGTATCATAGCTAGTTAAACCGGATTAGAAAAACTGCCGGTGTTTACCAGGCTAACGATGCTCTTGGTGGTTGATATAATGAACTAAGTGCTGTAAAGTCTGATTTCACGAATAGTTGAAAAGTAGAAGCTGTAGCAACAGTACAGCACATTGGGTTATAAAGAGTATATACAGTACACACAGTACAGTATATTGGGTTAGAATCTCTTTTGATTCTCTCCTACATACAAAAGGAGTTATAGAATTTTAGAAGTCTGAAATGTAAACATCCCTCTCGCTAGTCTCACTTTTGATAGGAAATGCTTGAAATTAATGGATGTGTAAGCACGAGTCATCTAAGAATTTTATCAACATCATACAGAAACATACATTCACAACTGCCAAATGAGGATGCAAAATTTGTCTCCTATAAACCTTCCGACGTTTCTTTTTGATTAAATTTCATAAATTTCATTTAAATTCCTAGTTATTTGAAAAGATCTTTAATCAAAATCAAAACCACGAACGCCAGTTGAATAGATAAACGGCTTTTTTTCTGGATGATCTGAAGTACAAGCTCATAATGCTTGCAAGGTATTTTTCTAGAGTGTCTAAGTATCAATAGTAAAAGATTTTGACGAAATTGCTAGATTTCATCGAAGTCAGGAGCGAGCAATAGGTTGACATCATTACAATCACTTCATCAAGCTATATATAAAGTGATTGAAGTGGCCAATTGAAAAACGACGAACGATCGTACACACTAACTGCTTTAGCTACAATTAAACGCTTGAATATAGCTAGGTTGATGTTGTATTACATAACGAAATGATGCGTTCTTCAATTGTAATTATTGCACATTATAAGAGAAAAGTATTATCAGATACGTACTCACAATTATTTTCACCTTGTTCGAGAATATTTAGGAATACTTCTTGACGACAAACTACACGAGCACCATTCGTAAAAGCCTCGAAGAAAAACGGGTTCGAATTTCGAAATTTCGACAATACCAAAGTCGTATTCTCTTGAACGAGTAAAAATTCCAAATTATTATTGGTATGACATATCTAAAGGAACAAGAGAACCGCAGTTAATTGCCCTTGACTCAGAGAAAATATAAATTAGGCGAGACACCCCGCAGTTTTTCAAACCCAAACAGCGTGCATTTATGGTAATTCAAACTCAATTACAAAAACAAAGAATAAAGACTTGAAAACCTAATTGCTATCAAAACCTTAATATATTTATGTTGCTGTCTGCAATTTGCTAATGTGACACACGACCACCAGCAGATTATCTGAGAGAGGACATGAAATGCTCAATTAGAGGTTAATGTACGCGACACAAGACGGGTATTTTTATATGACACCGAGTACGACTGCCACTAATCATGGTCAATACCGTTAGGCTAGGTGTGTAATTACTGTACGTAATTAACACACATGCTGGTGGGAAATGTTTAAAATGATACGAATCATTTAGTGCACGCTATTGGATACCAATAACCAACCAATTTCATTTTTATATTCGTACTGGTTACGTGGAATTACGAGTTGTCAGTTACGCTGTTCGTAGTCACTTTGTAAGAGTATAATTTTCATCAAAGCACCTGGGTCACGAAAGATTTTAAACTCCTGTTTGTATTTTCGAACCATTAGCAGTATGGCAAATATGATATGCTTTCTAAGCAGCGTGAGAAAATTTTTTAAAATTACAAGTATTTTGGTGCCCGCAGAGTAACATAGAAAAGATTACCAAAGTGCAAAGCAAAACATCGAAATAACCACAAGAAAGCTATTTTGCTTGCAAAGCAATCAGTATGGAAAAGTATTTCATCAGCCTTGTGATGCCGACATGAAAATAACAGAAAAACAAACGAATTGAGCTAGATCCAGTATTCCGTCTTGCGTTGCATGTAAAAGGAGGATTCAAAAACAGTATTGAAAACACTGTATCGAAAACGAGACTAGAAACGGAACGACAAATTAAACAAACTTTACTTTTAATACTTTCGCTATTCAAAAAACACTTTCAATACAAATTTTATAGAAAACAAAGGACTAGCTAATCTATTAAAGACCTGCGCACGTATTAATTATTACAAAAAATCATCCTATATCAAAAAGCCAAAACTCTTAGCCAACAGAGAAAATACAAAACTATAATAGTCCCTAAACTCCAATCGTCACTCCAAAATTCATTTAGTATTGAAATGGTATTTATGATTGAGTAGAATTAGAAATAATTCAGTCGACATTGCAAAATTTGACATTTGGCAAAATTATATGAAAAACTACATATTCACTTCATGTAAGACATGATCCAAAGACAATTACTCAACCGCGTCATTCGCTTTGTTATACAGTTACATGGAATGGCGAGCCAGGGATGTGCTTTTCACCCCACAACACTTTCAAAACATATTCTCCGGGTTCCTCTAAGGTATAGTTAACGGCATAAACTTTTCCACCAGTGTGCTTAACATTGATTTCTTTAGCAGGAATAGCTGGTCCCTCTACGCCGACCATCAAAGACCCTCGACCTGCATCACTACAGTTGACAGTGAACGCATTTGGCTCACCAATAACGGCACGATGCAATCCGGATCCGACCGGCTTACACTTTTCGGCAAATGCAGAGGAACCGTCGCTTGATATTGTAACATTGTAAGGACTCTTCGGGATGTTTTGATCGGCGAACTTGATGACAATTTTATACTCGCCGGCAATAACTGGATGATACGTTACTTTGTACGTTCCATCGGGGTATTCCGTACAATTCATTCGTACCTTTGCAGGTCCATTAACCGACAGCGACAATGCTCCGGTGCCCGCTCGTAAAGCATCAACAGTGAAGTAGGTTTCTTCGCCGGCAACACCACCTTCCAATCCGGGACCGTATGCCTTTGCCTTACTGGGGTAACTTTCACCCCCACCAACTTTGACCTTGAACGGAGAACCCGGAATACGCACACCATCGAAACGAACATTGATCAAATGAATGCCGACCTCCTTGGGGACAAATCTTATCGCGTAGCTACTATTACCACGATCTGAAACGGTCGCTGGGGACTCGGAACCGGAAGGTGTAATAACAGAAGCGGTGACTTTACCAACTGGGCCGTTTGTTTGAAGAGAGAAAGAAGCAGGTTGACCAACTGTAATGCCACTCTCCAACATGTCGGAAACACTCAAATCTCGGAAACGCTCGTCTTCTTCCGTTGTTACAAATACATTGAACGGTGCACCCGGGATATTTTCGTCAGCAAATCGGACATGCACGTCATACTCGCCAGGTTCAGTTGGAACGTAAGTGATGCTGCACGAGCCGTCTCCATTATCTTTACAATTAATTTCCGTTTTGGCTGGACCTTCGATTGCAACCGCCAGGCCTCCTGGGCCAGCGTCACGTGTCCAGACGGTGAAGTTTGCCGGTTGGTTCACAACGCCACTTTCAAGACCAGGCCCCGCAGCTGAACACTTACCTGCGCCACCCCATTTCGGTGCTTCTACTTTTACTCGGAAAGGACTTCCAGGTATATCTCGACCGCGATTCTTCACATAGATCTAGGAAAATTGAACAGTGATCATAAGAGCATGAAATCTGCTTCGATGGCAAGTCACCTCTTTACTTGAGCACAAACATTTTTTCATCTAGTATTTATGCAAGTGTAACAAACTATTTACTACAATAAATTTACAAACAACTAGAGAATATCTTTTCACAAACCTTGTATATTCCACCTTCTTTTCTTACAAAGCGAATGGTGTAAGTATCGTTTTCAGTTTCGACAATTTCGGCCGGTTCAGTTTTCCCACTTGGTGTTTCAACAGTTGCTTTCAAGTTTTTCAGATCGTAACCAACAAGGTACAGATCAAAGTCGTGCGGTTCTTGAGTACTGAAAGAAATTAGATCGTCAAGAAGCTGAGGGGTTCTCTGCGCAGGTGCACTCTCCACACTATCAACCATCTCCCTCGTAATCCCTTCGTCAACAACAGGACGCTTGCTGCCCTTTGGCACTAACTTGCACGAAAATGGGCTTCCAGGAATTTCTTCATCGGCAAAACGTACGTGATTGGTGTAATCACCAGGCTCTGTAGGAACAAAGTCCACAGCACACGTGCCATCCCCATTATCCACGCAATTGATATTTGCCTTTGAAGGTCCTTCGATGGACAATCCCAATCCTCCGTATCCGGCATCACGAGTATTCACGGTGAATTCCGATTTCTCGTCAACCACTCCTGATTTCAAACCTGTGACAGAAGTAGTCGTTACTGCTACATGTTGGATCAATTGCGAGAAAAGGCATATCAATATCATAATAAACATTTAAAATGAAACCTTTTTGAGTACAATAATTTCGTTTAGGTGTTATTTGAACAGCAAACAAAATTACAAGGCACATGTAAAATATAAAAGAAAATATGAACAAATAACAGTCGAAAACGTTCAACACAAATCTAGGAAAACTTCCTTTGAAAGGCATAAGTTTCAAGCAGTATACAAACCTGGACCGTAGGCCTTTACTTTAGATGCATTGTCGGGCCCAGGACCGCTGACCATCACTGAAAATGGGCTCCCACTCACGTGACGTTTGTTCTTAAACACGCTTACAAAATGCTCCCCCGTTTCTTTTGGTATAAACGATACACTGAGCGTGTTATCTGAGTTGAGAATGAGCTTCAACGGCTCTTCCACAGTGCTTCCGGGGCGTTTCAAAACACCTGTCAGAAGGGCGAAGTCTTCAAGAAGTTTTAAACCAGGTATCTCTAGACCAACTCCACACGGTCGACCGACAGACTGGCTAGCAGCATCCGGGGCACTTACCATAACACTAGAACAAAACAGAAAGTAGCTTCAGGGCATATATAATTGAAATGAAAAGTGATCTGCCAATGAAAACGCTTTCATTAATCGATATGACAAAAGTTTTCGGAAATTTTTAAATAAATTTACGATTGTAGTTTGACTCTAAGAATCCAATAGGATAATTCTATTAACAATTTCAATGTTTTCCCTCACCTAAATGGACTTCCGCTCAAGTGTCGGTTGAACTTCTTCACGCTTATCAAATGCTCTCCTGGGGATCTGGGCACAAACGACGCACTAAGAGTGTTGTCGGAGAGTACCTTTAATTTGATTGGCTCTTTTGTATCAGAGTCAGGCCGTTTCAAGGTTGATTTTAGTTTACTAAGATCTGCGGGCAAATTCAAGCCAGGTATATCCAAATGGCAGTCACACGGTCTACCGACAGCGTTCACTGCTTCAGCATCTTCTACCATTACTTCGAAAGGACTGCCGGGAACTTCTTCTCCCGATTTTTTCACGTGAACAAGATGCTTTCCAGGCTCCGTTCGAAAGAATGATATTCCTATTGGACAAATATAAAAATGAAAACACGATGCTAAAAATAAACTGAAGACGTTAATATTGGCACAATAAATCAAATTCGATGATTCGATAGTTCATTATGTGATTAATATTTGCAAACATTGACGATTAATCATTGACGATGATCATTGGGATTTGCAATTGATTATTTCCGTTAAATAACGTTGACAAAATGACTTGAAGAAATTTGAGGAAAATTGTAGGAGAGCGAACTAGTATGTTACCCAAGGTGTTATCGGGATTAAGCTCCAGATTTAATGGTTCTTCTTTCTTGCTGCTTGGACGCTGCAATGTCGCACTTAGTTTCTTGAAATCACCAGGAATTTTTACTCCAGGTATATCTCGACGGCGATTCTTCACATAGATCTAGGAAAAGTGAACAGTGATCATAAGAGCATGAAATGTGCTTCGATGGCAAGTCTCCTCTTGACTTGAGCACAAACATTTTTTCATCTAGTATTTATGCAAGTGTAACAAACTATTTACTACAATAAATTTACAAACAACTAGAGAATATCTTTTCACAAACCTTGTATATTCCACCTTCTTTTGTTACAAAGCGAATAGTGTAAGTATCGTTTTTAGTTTGGACAATTTCGGCCGGTTCAGTTTTCCCACTTGGAACGAATGATATTCCTATTGGACAAATATAAAATGAAAACAGGATGCTAAACAAACTGAAGACGTTAATATTGGCAAAATAAATCAAATTCGATGATTAGATAGTTCATTATGTGATTAATATTTGCAAACATTGACGATTAATCATTGACGATGATCATTGGGATTTGCATTTGATTATTTCCGTTAAATAACGTTGACAAAATCACTTGAAAAAATTTGAGGAATATTGTAGAAGAGCGAACTACTATGTTACCCAAGATGTTATCGGGATTAAGCTGCAATGTCAAAATTAGTTTCTTGAAATCACCAGGAATTTTTACTCCAGGTATATCTCGACGGCGATTCTTCACATAGATATAGGAAAAGTGAACAGTGATCATAAGAGCATGAAATGTGCTTCGATGGCAAGTCTCCTCTTGACTTGAGCAAAACATTTTCATCTAGTATTTATGCAAGTGTAACAAACTATTTACTACAATAAATTTACAAACAACTAGAGAATATCTTTTCACAAACCTTGTATATTCCACCTTCTTTTGTTACAAAGCGAATAGTGTAAGTATCGTTTTTAGTTTGGACAATTTCGGCCGGTTCAGTTTTCCCACTTGGAACGAATGATATTCCTATTGGACAAATATAAAAATGAAAACAGGATGCTAAAACAAACTGAAGACGTTAATATTGGCACAATAAATCAAATTCGATGATTAGATAGTTCATTATGTGATTAATATTTGCAAACATTGACGATTAATCATTGACGATGATCATTGGGATTTGCATTTGATTATTTCCGTTAAATAACGTTGACAAAATCACTTGAAAAAATTTGAGGAAAATTGTAGGAGAGCGAACTACTGTGTTACCCAAGATGTTATCGGGATTAAGCTCCAGATTTAATGGTTCTTTTTTCTTGCTGCTTGGACGCTGCAATGTCGCACTTAGTTTCTTGAAATCACCAGGAATTTTTACTCCAGGTATATCGAAACCAAAACCACATGCTTTACCGACAGGATGAAGCTCTTTGACTGGAGGCTTTTTCGAAACCTTTTCAGGTACATCCACAATGTACGGACTATCTGGAACAGGCCTTCCGTCCTTTCTCACATTGATTCTATGAGGTCCAGCTTTGCGAGGAATGAATGGAACATAAAGATTATCATCTGAGGTTTTTTTAACCGGAACTGGTTCCTCCTTCGTGGAGTCAGGTCGCAATAGACCAGCGTCCAGTTTTGGAAGATCTTTGGATGGAATATTTTCTAATGGAGCATTAGATGGTTTGCCAATTTCACAAGGGGGTTCAGGTGCTGTTACCATGGTGGAGAACGGACTACCTGGTACAGGTCGGTTACGTTTCTTGACCGTTATTAAATGTTCACCAGGAGACCTGGGAACAAATGAAACACTAAGGTTTCCATCAGAAGTAGCTTTGGGTTCAACAGGCTCCTTAACATTGGATCCAGGTCTCTTTAGAGTTGCAGTCAACTTTGGTAAATCTTCAGGAAGATTCAATCCTTCAACGTCTAAGGGTACATCACATGGAGCACCGACTGCTTTCTCAGGTTCAACACGGTCAATCATTACAGATATAGGACTTTCAGGAATCTCTTTACCAGACTTCTTAATGCGAATCAAGTGTTCTCCAGGTGATTTAGGAACAAATGTCACACCTAAAATAAGGAAAGCAATGAACAATTAAGGTCGAGAGTGTCATTAAAGTGCCTATAAAACGAAAATTTTGTAAATTAAATTATGTTTGCAATGACCAGAATTTTTGAAATGACAGTGTACTTTCTAAAACAGTGAATGCACATCTCTTTTTATTCTCGTGATGTTGAAGTTTTTCTTATTTCCAAATTATCCAACTTGTTTCGTTATATTGCATAATGAGCTCGCACAATGTATCAGATACTCTTCAGTTTCCTGACAACTTTAGGTTGATACCAGTAGGCAACATCTTTTACCATTAACATGTCACAATGAAGGGAGCTCTGTCTTTGTGAAATCTCTCTCTTGGCTTGGCTTCGCGAACGAAGATTTATGAAGGGGGCTGTCCACGTCGACTACAGGCACGCTCGTGGCTGACAAGTCCGATGCGAGACAAACAGGTTCGGCCGCAGCGGCTACAGTCAAAGGTCACGTCAGGTACGGCTGCTGAAGCTTCCCGGTTCTTCCTCTTGCGGCGTTTCTCCCTCAAGTTCTCTGTACGAGAGTCTCAAAGGAGGAGACAGCCTGGTGGACAGTACGACGCCAGGCATCACGGTCAACAGCAAGAGTAGACCACTGGCGGTGGTCAATATGGCAGGCTCCGAGGAACTTCTTCAGAGAGTCTTTGTAGCGTTTCTTCGGTGCCCCTCTGTAACGGTGGCCAGTGGAAAGTTCGCCATACAAGGCAATTTTGGGCAGGCGCTGATCATCCATTCTGGAAACGTGCCCTGCCCAACGTAGCTTCGACTTCAGTAGCATGGCCTCGATGCTGATGATCTCCGCCTGTGTGAAGACCTCAACATTGGTGACGTAGTCACTCCAGTGAATGTTGAGGATAGTGCGGAGACAACGCTGATGGAAACGCTCAAGGAGGCGTAGGTGGTGACGGTAGATTACCCATGACTCAGAGCCGTACAAGAGGGTGGTGAGTACGACGGCTCTGTACACGCTGATCTTGGTGCCCTTCTTCAAAGAATTGTTGTTCCACACTCTGTTATACAGTCTGCCAAAAGCGCTGCTTGCCTTTGCCAGTCTGTTGTCGACCTCCCTGTTGATCTTCGCATCTGATGTGATAACACACCCCAGGTAGGTGAACTGGTGAACGCTTTTCAGCTCAGTCTCGCCGATGGTAATGTGAGGAGGGCGGTAATCTACCCGAGGTGCGGGCTGATGGAGGACTTCCGTCGTTTTCAAGCTGACCTCGAGTCCGAAGAGCTGGGCAGCCTCTGCAAAACAGGACGAGAGGCGCTGCAGGTCTCTTTCGGTATGGGCAACAAGGGCAGCGTCGTCGGCAAAGAGGAGGTCTCGGATCATCTGCTCATGGGTCTTTGTATGGGCTTGCAGCCTCCTGAGGTTGAACAGGCTGCCGTCAAGGCGATAACGAATGTGGACAGCATCGTCATCGTCAAGGTCTTCTTTGGCTTCATGCTAAGCATCATGCTGAAGAAGATGCTGAACAGAGTCGGAGCCAAGACACAACCCTGTTTCACGCCGTTGACGATGGGAAGGGTTCTGAGAGTGTGCTGTTCAACCTGACTTGGCCGCTCTTGTTTTCCGCTCGGCTTTGTTTTTGTACAAGGTAACGATGACTGCACCGCGGAGGTCTCTTGGAAGCTTTCCTTGTTCCCAACAACAGACGAGGAGTTCGTGGAGCTTTCTGTGTAACGCTGGGCCTCCATCCTTCCAGATCTCTGGTGGGATGCCATCAACTCCTGCTGCCTTGCCACTCTTAATCTTCTCTATGGCTTCTGTGAGTTCTTTCATAGAGGGTGGTTCGTCCAATTCCACTATAACTGGGAGCTGAGGGATGCGAGGATTGCTGAGTCCTGAACGACTCGATCAGCACTGAAGAAGGCGTGGAAGTGCTCGGACCAGCGTCTCAGGATAGACGCCCTGTCTGTGAGGAGCGCCTCACCGTCCGCACTGCGCAAAGGACTCTGGGCGTGGTGCGTAGGGCCGTACACTGCCTTAAGGGCTTCGTAGAAGCCTCTGTAGTCACCAGAGTCTGCGCATTGCTGAGTTCGTTCTGCGAGGTTGATCCACCACTCGTTCTTAATATCTCGAAGCTTGCGTTGGAGGTTGCTACAAATGTAACGGAAGGCAGCTTTCCTCGCGGGACAGGACGGCTGAGCCAGGTGAGCCTGGTGGGCTGATCTATTCTTAGCCAGCAATTCCAGGATCTCCTTGTTGTGTTCGTCAAACCAGTCTTTGTTCTTTTTAGTGGTGAACCCCAGGACTTCTTCTGATGTCTGCAGTATGGCTCTTTTCAAATGAAGCCAAAGTGAATCAGGTGAGGGATCTTCTGGGCAGCCATCGTTTTCAAGCTTGAACTGCAAGCACGTCTGGAAGTCAGCTCTCACTACAGCTGATTGTAGCCTGCTGAGCTTGAACATTTTCTTTGGGGGCCCTCCCTTTCTTGCTTTAGGTTTGAAGTGAAGTCTGAGTTGCAGCGCACGAGGCGATGGTCAGTGTGACATTCTGCGCTGGGCATCACTCTGGTGTGTAAGACGTCTTGGAGGTCTCGTTGGCGCACTAGAACGTAGTCAATAAGGTGCCAGTGTTTGGACCGAGGATGCATCCAGGTTGTTTTCAGACTGCCCTTTTGTTGGAAGATGGTATTGGTGACGACAAGTTGCTGCTCCATGCTAAACTCCAGCAGCAAGCGCCCCTTGTCGTTGCAGTTACCAACGCGATGTCTGCCAAGCACTCCTTTCCAGGCAACAGCGTCTTGTCCCACTCTGGCGTTGAAGTCGCCAAGGATTATCACCTTATCGTCTACGGAAGTGCTTCGAAGAACTCTGCGGAGCTCTGAGTAGAACTTGTCTTTTTCTGCAGGCACAGCTTGAAGAGTTGGGGCATACACACTGAAGAACGTGGCATACTTTTTGTTCTTCAGAGGGAGGCGCATGGACATGATGCGGTCAGAATGACCAGTTGGCAGGTTTTGCAACTTGGAAGCGATGGAGGTTCTAACCATGAAGCCGACGCCTGCGAGACACCTTTCTGTTGCAGGTTTTCCTGACCAGAAAAGGGTATATCCGGCGCCATGCTCCTGAAGGCTGCCTTCTTCCGGGAAGCGAACTTCGCTGAGGGCAGC